TACTCTATCCTATCCTTCTCCTTCCTTAACCTTCTACTCTTTCCTATCCTTATCCTTCCTTAACCTTCTACTCTATCCTATCCTTCTCCTTCCTTAACCTTCTACTCTACTCTATCCTATCCTTCTCATTCCCATTCTTTTAATCTATCGTATCTTATCCTTCTCCATTCCATTATACTACTTCGTCATATCCTTCTCATTTATAACCAGCGCTCTATCCTTTCCAACCTTCTACTCCACTCTTACCCTCTCTTTTCAACCTTTCCTGTTCTTCTCTTCTAAAATATGTATCTAATATCTAAACTCTTGTCCTAAATAAATATTTCACTTTCTATTTATTTCACGTAGCAACCAATAACGGACACATCATTCAGACATTTCCACAACAATTATTAGATAATATCCTTAATATCCTTAACCCTATCCATACACCTGATCCATGCATGGTTGTCAGGGGAGAGTGTGGTAATATCCTGGATTCTACGGGGGGGGGGGAGTTTCACTTTATCTAAATAAGGTGGAAAGTTGTTATTGTAGAGCTTCAATAGGTAAAATCAAAATAGCCCGGAGCGGGTTGGGTTAAGGTACCGACCTGACAAACCAATCTCCGGTAGGGTCAACCAAAAATAACGGGATCTTCAGATCAGATATTAATAGCACCTGGAGAATAATCAAAATAATGTTCACATGATCAAACAAGAATTTTAAGAAATATATTTTTTGAAACTCCACACCCGGATCACACGATTTCTATACCCTTGGATTGCTTAACCCATTAGGATTCGTACTCGCGGGTGTAAGGGGGAGGGGGTGGGCGCGAGAGGGTTATATGGCTGCATCATATAAAATTGTCAGTTACTGCTCAACCTGCATTAGGGAACCATGAGGGTTAAGGTAGAATCTATTCCTTTTTAAACCATGAATACATTCAACAAATTATTGGAACCAATATATTTTTTAAAAGAAAACTAATGCGTACGTTCAATATGTTTTATTTTCACATTATGGTTCGATCATTTTTATATTTGATTGTTATCAGACAGACGATTTTGCGTAGATTTGATCTTAACAGATTTTTTGTTTACATATTTTCTTTCTTCAGGTTTTAGCACTTGTATTTTTGATCGGTGCATCATGGGCCAAACCAAGCCCGGACTTTGGAACAGAACATGATCATGATCACGATCATGATCATAATGAACAGTCCAGCGCTGACGAGTCTACTCCTGCAGTTCCTGAGAAACAGTGCGAGCTTGTTCGTTCCTCCCAGGCCACTTCTCCTGAATGCTTCCTGGAACCTGAATGCAACAATGTTTGTCAACAAGATACAAAACAGGTTGGATTTATAAAAATATCCCCAAACAGAGAATAGGAATATCCCCAAACAGAGAACAGGAATATCCCCAAACAGAGAATAGGAATATCACCAAACAGACAATAGGAATATCCCAAACAGACAATAGGAATATCACCAAACAGACAATAGGAATATCCCCAAACAGACAATAGGAATATCCCCAAACAGACAATAGGAATTTCATTTATTTATGGGTTGTAAAGATTCTTGATTCTAGGAAACGTCAATTTATCTATATGAACGATGATTTCTTAGATAATTCTACCTTTTTTAATGGTTAAATATTTCCTTTAAATAGCTCGATCTATTCTTTCAATCAGTTGAGGAATTTTGTTTGGCTCAAAGTAATTGTTTCTTTGACATTTTTAATCCCAATATCTTTGCAACTCAAGGTCGTAGACCTTAGGTATTTCAAACTATGCATTCTGTTGTATCAAATAATCCAAGTTTGAAATATATAAGGTTGCAAAGATATATGGATGAAAAAATCAGAGTTTTAGCAAAGACTACATTCCTTTAGGATTTGTCGTACTTTTTTAGTTTTATATTTAAATTTTTAAATAAAAATATTCTTCAAATCAACTGAACGTAATAAATCAACCACTTAAACTGTCGGCGCTAACAGCCATAACTTTAAACTTGGAAGAACTGGGATACATTTATACTTTTTCATTTCTTTGAATTCTAAAATTTATCAAATTTAGCATAACTCTATTTCACCTCTATTTTTATCTAGATTTTATTAATTCAATGATAACACTACAACAATTGACAAAATGACAAAGGAATTGAGACTTGGCATAAGCTCAAATGTTCGTAACCTAATGGTGTAACATTTAATATTGTGTTGAAAATATATAAGGATTATGAAATCAGATTTTTTGACAAAGACTCGTGTTTATTCTGGTCCGTGAAAACTTTTGATAAGAAAATGGCTATTTGAAAATCATGAAACCAAACAAGCCTTTCACTGAAGGCGTTACAATATCGCAAAATCATAATATTTTAGCGCAAAACCCCGCCTTGCTATGTTAGATTTATGTATCCTATTATTCCTACTAAAACCTTGATCTAGGTGTGCACTCCGTACCAGGATCAAGTATGCCGGAATGAAACCTTCACGAAGTGTGATATCGTGAATGAGCAGAAGTGTGAGACTGAGTATGAAACCCAGTATGATACTCAGTGTACTACCACCAATGAGCAGCAATGCAATACAGTTTTGAAGAACCAATGTTCAACTGTGAACGAACAGAAGTGTAGCACCAGGTTTGTTAATTTTATGAAAAGTCAACTTTTTCTAATTTTCAACCTTTCATATTTATGTTATCAGGTATGAAACTAAAACTGAGCAGAAGTGTACAACTGTCTCGGAGAAGCAGTGTCAGACCGTATCCCAACCTGACTGCAGAACCATACCAGACACACAGTGCACCGTAGAGAACGTCAAGAAGATCCAGCAGAAGTGTGCCACCGTGAACAAGCAGCAGTGCGTGAACGTTAACGAGGTTGTGTACGACACCCAGGTTCAGGAGGTGGTTGAGGAGCAGTGCCGTCAGGTTCCAGATAAAGAATGTGTTGTTCAGACCGTAAATAAACCCCAGTCTGTAAACTCTACGGAGTGCAAGGATGCAGTAGAGACCAAGTGCACGACTGTAAACGAGATTGTCAACGAGCAGGTCTGCAACACTGTCTCAGAGAAGGTTTGCAGGAAGGTTCCACAGAAAAGCGTTCAGACTGTTCAGGTAAATAATAAAGAGAAATTTAAAATAGAAAATATGATATTTATGAAATGATTGTTCAGGATACCAAATGTGAGACCGTATACGAGGATGCCTGCACTACTGTAACCAAGGAAGAATGTCAGACTGTGTATGAAACTAAATGTGAGACTCAATACCTCGCTACTCCCCAGAATGATTATGACAGCTATGGAAGTCCTATTGGCAATGTTTTCAGGAAGAAGAGACAAGTTTATGATTCCTATGGAGCTCCTCAAGCCCCGGTTATTAATATCCCAGCTCTTCCAAACCTTCCAGTATCCTGCGCCCCTGGCAGCCCTGGATGTCAGCAGGATACAACCCAGAACTGCCGCGAAGTACCTCGTCAGTCCTGTCAGCAGGTTCCCTCCCAGCAGTGCAGTAAGGTAGCTAGGCAGGCCTGTAGACCAGTATCTAGGCAGGTGGAGAGTGTAGAGTATGTAGATGAATGTACTGATGTACCCAGGCAACAATGCCAGACTGTTTCCAAGAATGTTCCCCGTCAGCAATGTGTTCCAACTCCAGTAAAGCAGTGTAGGTGGGTACTCAAGACCTACAACCGTCAGGAGCAGGTTCAGCAGTGCAGAGATATCGTAAGGAACGAGTGCACCAAGGTTCCCAGACAGGTTTCCAGGAAGGTTCCAAGAACTGTATCCAGACAACAATGCAAAACTGTTCCTTCCACCGAATGCCAGGATATCGAGGTAAGTCATATTGTAATATTTTTGATTAAATTAGTTTTTGTTCAAACTCCAACTCGTGTTAGGTTAATGTACCGGAGAAGAAATGCCAAACCGTCCAGAGAAATGTTTGCCAGGACGTTCAGTCCCAGCAGTGCCAAGATGTACCCAAGCAGGTTAGCTTAACCACAACCCTACTCATAATAACATTCATGTATTCAGAATATTTCTCTAATCAAGTCTTAATATTTAATAAGAACACCGCTGAGTTAATATTCTCAAAATCAACCTATGATCTAGGTATGCAGACCAGTGACTACATCAGTCCCACGCCAGGAGTGTGTAAACGTTCCACGTCAAGTTTGCAACCAGGTTCCAGAACAACAGTGTGTAACCGTTCCAAAACAAAACTGTCAGCAGGTTCCTAAACAAGTCTCAAAGAACGTCTGCAAAACTGTTCCAAGAAATGTAAGTTTATATTTAATTTTATTGAGATGATTTTAAAAAAAATAACTTTTTAACCAAAGAAGAACAAAAACAAATTTTCCTTTTCCTAAATCCGCAAATATTCAGGTGTGTGGCACCTATCCTGTAGAGAAGTGTGAGCAGGTCACCAGGCAGAACTGCGAGCAAGTCAGCTTTGACAGCTGTAATCAGCAGTGCGAGGATGTCTACTGGTGCAAGGAGTGTGTTATTGTTTAAATTTGTTTTTAAAACTTCTTCTAATTCTTTCATGATAAGATAGGAGGTCTCTACATTTGCAACAGCTGATCACAGCGCTTTAATTTCAATTTATACTTAACAGACTTGAAATATTATTAATTTTTTTTTTGCCAAATCTGTTGCGGAGATTGAAAACTCTCCTTGAATATTTGAATGCGAGGTTAATGTTTAGCCTGGCATGAATCTCATATTATGAATCTCACTACATGTATACTTTTACCAGTTTAAAAATATGAACGTATAATAAAACTATATGTATATCTGTTGAACTCCATTTAGTCTGAGAGAAAGATGTTTGGGGCAAAAAAAAACACTAGAAAATTTTACGTTGTAACGCAACATATCTAGTTCTTTTAGGGATTACATTTTATAAAAATAAATACGGTATCACTTATCTTAAAAAATAATCTAATTAACGATGCCTTTTTGGTGACTAATTTTTTTCACGACTTAATATCCATACTTAGCTCAGTCAGTAAGAAAACTTCAAAACTTATTTTTGACATTCATCTATTGTTGATAACTATACCAGGTGTGTAAATTCTGGAACTATCCCTTCACGAGATATTTTTATTACTTTTATGCGTAATTACTGCAGTGGCATATCCAATTCACATCTGTACCCTTAAAGGGAGTGACCGGCTGTGTAAGGTTGTTGAACGGAGTATGCAGTGTTGCGAAAAACTGCTTTCGGATTCATTTGAGACATATTACACTTTTTAAAGATCTGTAAATCCTGAGTTTGAGCACAAATTCGACGTAAAAAACTCCTACTTTGGGGGTGGATACTCAACTACCTTACATAGCCGGTCACTCCCTTCAAAAGCTTTCTCTGATCAAGAAAGAACGTCTTAAATTGATTATTTTCTGCGGAGAAAATGGAGGAAATCATCAGAATTTAAAAATGTTAAACATTTTTAAATTCTAAAGAAACTATGCATTAATGATTAGATACATGTTTCAAGACTATAGCTGTCGTGAACTGCCCCTATTCAAATGGAGGAGTGCTTGAAATTCAAACGACAGACCTTTTGATTATTAAGGTACAGGTAGCTTCCCTGGCTAATCTTCTTTTTATAAATATTTTAATATATTTTCAAAAATTTTATTTTCAAAAAATCAATCATTTAAAATGTTACTTTGTTATGATCAAAACTAGCAGTTATATTTCAAAATACTGAATATGTGTTGAATATTATACAACTAGAATAACGGATACCCAAGGATTATCTATCATTATCAGAATGAAGCTAAAAAACCTTGGATATTATTAATTACAGCAACAGCAACGACAAAAACATTTGTATTAATTTTTTAACTGAAAATACAATTGTCTCATGCTATTATTATGTTTATATACAATTAACTTTACATTTATATTTCACATGTTTTGCTTGTCTATTTGTTTGTTTAATACGAAAAGTGAAAATGACCCAAATATTTTGAAACTTCATGTTTTGCTTGTCTATTTGTTTGTTTAATCCGAAAAGTGAAAATGACCCAAATATTTTTAAACTTCATCAAACGAAAACCGGAAAATTTGCAAAATTTGTTAGTTTCATCATGTACGAAGATGTAAAGCAAAATCAAAAAGATCAAATTATTACAAGAACAAGAGAGGTGTATATATATACATTATATATATGTATAAATAATCTCCGGNATCTCTGGGATATAAGAAATTATCTCTGGGATATAAGAAATTATCTCCGGGATATAAGGAATTATCTCCGGGATATAAGAAATTACCTCTGAGATATAAGAAATTATCTCCGGGATATAAGAAATAATCTCCGGGATATAAGAAATAATCTCTGGGATATAAGAAATGATCTCTGGGATATAAGGAATTATCTCCGGGATATAAGAAATTATCTCCGGGAAAAAAGAAATTATCTCCGGGATATAAGGAATTATCTCCGGGATATAAGAAATGATCTCAGGAATATTAGGGTACTATCTTTGGAACATCTGAAACTATGTTCGGGAAATATGAAAAAATCTCCGGGGATTATATCAGGCATAAAAAATTATCTCCGGGGTATTACAGAGTATCTCTTACAAGCCTGAACAATCTAAGATGTTAAAATATAAAAATTTAGAACTATTTTTCAACTTAATGAAGAAGACAGACCCCAAAAAAGCGAAAAGTCATCAATTTTTACGCCAAATTTTTATCGTTAAATGTGAGATATTTAGAAAAGATTTGAACCCTCTTTTCTTTTTTGGTTCCTACCACTTTGCTTGAAAACTAAAAAATTAAAGTAAGATTTAAATAAGAGTTCAACTGATGAGTAAACAAACTGGTAACCTTGTCCCACCTTTTGTCCTGTTATCCTATAAACATTGTGTTTTACCACTGATTCTCCGTATTCTCCGCATACTCTGACCTTCAGAGCTCCACTACATATAGACTATATAAAAAAGTCAAGCTCCACTCATCAGTCACAAGTTTACAGAGGAACAGTTGAAATGATTTTGATCTTGCTTTTCGGACTTTTCATACAGGATGGATTAGCTCTACCATCAGATCGAAGCTTAAATGTAGGACGTGAATCCAGGTACTCTGGATACAAGGTTCTTGCTGTCATTCCTAACACAAAAGAGCAGGTTTCCTGGTTAGCGGAATTTAAAGGGAACCCATCCCTAAACTGTTCTCTAGACTGGTGGAATGAACCAAGCCTACCAGCTGTAACAGTATCCCTAGCTGTAAACCCAAGCTGCCTGGAGGATGTTATTCAGGAGTTTAAGAATGAAGGACTGAGTGCTAGAGTAAGAATACCAGATCTTGAGAAGGTGATCGCACTGGAGAAGAATTACAGGTTTCTGTCTCAGCTCTATCGGAATCCAGATGACTGGAACGAGGAGGTTTATCACAACCTGGAGGAGATAAACAAGAGGGTCGACTCCTTGGTTAAAACGTACTCCGAAGTCCTCACCGCTAAGACGCTTGCTACTACCTACGAGGGGAGGAAGATTGAAGTTGTGATTGTTCGTGAGGCCGGACCCGTCAATAAACCTGTAATATGGATTGATTGCGGGATTCATGCCAGAGAATGGATTTCTCCTCCAACATGTCTTCATATTATAGATCGTCTAATAGACTCCGTCAACTCTGTAGATCCTAAAGAGAATCTCCTGGCAGTTTATGATTTCTACATCCTACCTGTTGCGAACCCTGATGGTTATGCCTACACCTGGAGCACGGACAGAATGTGGAGGAAGAACCGCAAACCCAACCCAGGAGCAAACAATCTACAATCTCCCTTCTTTGGTTGGAACGGGAATCAAAACCAAAAATGCGACGGATCTGATCCAAACAGAAACTTTCCGATTCACTTTAACGAAGCCTCCAATAATCCTTGCGATGGTTCGTTCCGCGGAGAAACCCCGTTCTCCGAGGCTGAAGCTCAGGCTGTCAGGAATGGAGTTCAACAAATGCTAGATGTTTATGGAAAAAATAAGATCGCTGCTTTTATAACAATTCACGCCAATTCTCAACTCTGGATGTCACCTTACGGTAATTATTTTTGTTGTTTTTATAAATGTATCGAGTGTGTGAAGTTCTTTAAGCTGACAGTTTAAAATAATTCTCCGGGAAATGAAGAAAATCTGAGATGTTTGTCTTCCGTTGGGAATATTTATAGAAACCCCGGCTTCAGGTTTAAATCTTCTAATCATTCTTCTTACCTAACCATAGGATCCAGATTAGTTGGAATTCTATAAAATTCTAAAATTGAAATGAGAAAATTCTCATTTTTTACAAAATTGTTGAACTATGGAAGGTGTTGGCAGGGTGACTATACGTACAAAAGTACAGTTCAAGTCAGGGAGGACTCAAACAGAAAGAATTGGTTAAACTTATTCTTAATTAGTTTTACAAACATCGTGCATGAAATCCTCGCTATTCTGAATGAACAAGGTTGAGGAAAAGATGTTGGCAGATATTGGAAAGTCCATGAAAGTTTTCAAAACTCGATATTTTACGCATTTTGAGCACACATTGCAAATATTACAATTCCAATAAATTCAAGACTTTTTCTTGATCTACAAAAACTGAATTCGAATTTTAAAAAATTTCAACAACTTTAAATTTTCCATATTTCAGGATATACGAAGATCCATTCTGTGGACCACGATGATCAGATGAAAGTGATGAAAAAGTCCGTGGATGCTCTGGGTAAAGTTTTCGGGACCGAGTACAGATATGGACCAATATCAGAGGTATAGGGTCCATTTTATATTTAATTCTTGCAGTTTCTCCCTTTTAGTGTATTTAGTGTAAATATTCTCTGTGGGTTATACTGCCACTCAGAGACATCTTAAACAAATTGAATATTCTTTAATGTTGAGTTGGTGTTATTCTTCTAAATATTAGACAGATGTTAAGCATAAGACTTAGAAAGAATAACACAAGAGAACTTGAATTCTTAATTAATAGTTCTGCCAATAATCCACTAATAATGCTAAAAAAGTCAGGGAAAATTCTTCTTTACCATTCCTCTTCTCTATTCTAGGTAATTTATCTGGCGTCTGGTTCCAGCGTAGATTGGGCGTATGAGGGAGCAGGGATCAAGTACTCCTATGCTCTGGAACTCCGGGATACCGGAGATTGGGGTTTCCTTCTACCACAGGAGCAGATTAAAGATACGGCTAGTGAAACCTGGATTGGTATTACAGCTATGGCCTGGGCTATAGCGGAGGAATACGGGGTCAAAGTTTAAATTTTTTAAATCAAAATATTTATTATTTTATCTATATATTTCAAAGATTAAACTAAATTAACAATTTGTTATGAAAAAGTGTAAAAATTGATGTAATGAAATAATAGACCTTTAAGATTTTCAGTTCCTCCTCATTTTTATTTATTCCAACGATTACTCAATAAGTGTAGCTGATCATACAATGCAATAAAACTGTCAACTATTCTTGTCTGACTATGGTTGTGCATAGTTTAACATTTTAATTCAACATCATCTATAGTTAGAAAATAATTTTTATGGAAGTTATATTCGTAATTATAAAAATAGACTTCTGTGATATTTGATATCAATGCAATAAACCCATTTACACCTGAAAATAATAGAAATATTTCAAAATATAGTTTTCAAAAAGAGCAAAAGAGATTTTACTTGAGAAATGTATGTAACAATTTGAGTAAATGCGCAGAGCTCATTTTTGCGTAAAAAACTAAAAAAATTAAGAATAAAGAAATTTGAGAAAAATAGTTTTAAGTAAAAAATATTTATAGTGATTTGCTTTACCCAATCTTTGTAAAAATGGTTAACAGTACAGTTCAAACTTTCACACAGAAATTGAGTCTATGCCACAAACTCAAATGTTTTATTCCCTATATCTTTGCAAACTTCTTTGATCTAACAGAATATATAGATTGATCTATCTAATATCTACGACATTTGGTTGCAAAGATAAAGAAAAATAGACAATCAGAGTTTGTGGCAAAGACTTTATTCCTCACTACACTTTTCATTTAACAAAATTTGTTGGAACCCCGGAGCCAAATTCATCTTTGTAGCACAACTCTTCAAATGTTGATAAATAATTATATTTGAAGAATAATGCCAAAAGTTGAATTTGGGAAATAATAATTTACAGGGTTACCCACAAAGGATGAGACTTCAGAGACGACTGTACGGAATTCATATTGTCTTTTTCCTTAAATTTATGGTTCCTTGCAACTGTAAACTTGTTTCTTTCTTTGCCAAATCATAAAATAAGCCACTAAAAGATTATATTACAGGCAGAAGACTTAATTCACCCATAGAATCATTTTTTTTTTAAGAGTTTCAGGTCGTCTTTACAGTCTCTTTCTTTGTTGGTAGCACTGTTGAATCCAGGTTGTATTGCACCCCTTTAAATTTTATTAATATTTACATGCTACCAGATTTTCTTGATCGCATTATTGAATTTCAAAATTCTTTAAAATCAAAATTTGTTTAGGCAATTTTTGAAAATCTCGCCCTGTCACAAACCCTTCATGAGTTTATGTGAGGTCTTACCATAAGTTTGGTATATTTAGTGTTAATTGTATTAAACAAACAAATAGAAATATATGCATGTACGCAGTTCTAGGCGCTCAACTAATTTTTTTTTGTCCGTCACTTTAACTTGTTGACAAAAAAGGAGTTTGTAACTATAAAAAAAGTTTAATGTAAATAAAGAATGCACATTCTCTTAAGGTTTTTTAGCTCAATTAATAGATTTAATTTATTTGGAAACAGCAGAAACAAATTGCAAATAATACACCAGGTTATTTCTGGAGGCACGGGAAATATTTGTGCGGTCAGAAGAAGGAGGGAAGTGAGAGGAGCAAAGAGAGGAGGGGAGGGAAGGAAGGAAATAATGTGGAGTGGAGGGGGG